GATGACTTAATAGATATACGATATAGCATGATTTAAGCCACTATAGAAAAATAATAAGTCACATACATCCCATGGAGTTTTTTCCAGAAGCAAATTTTCTAAGGCTTATAAGAAAGTACTATTGACCACTACTAAATACAACCTCTACATAAAATGCTAGTTACTATAATAAGCACCACCCACATTCATATTTTAAAATCCAGAGAACAACGTTTCATCATGTGCTTTGCTTATCATCCTAGGATTTGTCAAACCTGAAATACAGCAATTGGAATAACATGGTACTGAAACTGACACCTTCGACTAGAATTGGCTAAACATTTTACAACTGAGGTTTAACATGCCCAAACAGTTTTATAAAGAAAACAGACTAGAAAAAGATGGCAGGAACAGCACTAAAATGCAAGTAAAACATTTTTAAAAATGTTGAAAAAATTCTTTTTCTTAGAGGATGCTTATTTATTGTCTCAAACGCATTTTAGGATTTTTTTTATTAAACTTCTCTTCAAAATTCATTAAATAATACCATTTAGTACAAATAATTTAATGTTATACTATTATATACAAAAATAAAATCTGAAATACAATAAAAAGATAAGTTCTCTATAATTTTTTCAACTCACAAATGTGATTTTGCCCTCACGATAAAACAAAATGGCCCTGGTAGGTAAGGGGTTAATGCCAAGTTCATGACATAAATTGATAATAACATTGTTTACTTAAAATTTTGGATGTAACTCTGTAAAAAGCTTTTGACGCATGGACTCTTACCTACCCATATCCAGATGGTTAAATAATTTTTAATTCTAAAGAAACATCAACTGAACTTATGGATATGTCCTTCTAAGTATTTGATTGTTATTTTTTATTTCAAAGTTAAAAAATAAACATTTCCTATTAATTAACTGTAATATTTATCTGTAGTGTCAAATAATTTCATCTGTGTTTTTATGTGGAAATTCTTTTTTTTTTATCAAGAACCAATTAGTATTGTTAAATTATTTTACTAAACCAATAAAGGTATCATTTATCTTTTCTGTTCTATTAATTAAAATCCTAATTAAATGTATCTAACTATGGAATAAACCTATCATGATTAGAGTATAAACCTGTAAAACTTTTTTTATGATACGTTTCACACTTGAAAATCCCATTTTCAACCAATACATCTAAAAAAGATAGTTTACATTATTCATGTTCTACTTTTAACTATATCTTATGTGTACCACTTAAATAATCCAAAAATCTTTATAAATATTCTGTTTAAAAGCAATAAAAGTGTCATCTACATGGATAAGTTTAAATTATTCAGACCACTTATCCATCTGACATTTTCCTAATATAGCTATTAGCCAATATTGGTACTAATCTAAATCCCATAGGAACCCCATCTTTCTGATCATATATATCTCTCTTGATTAAACATAAAATGTGATTGTTTTGTAGCTAAATCCAATAACTTTCTAAACATTTCTTTAAAGAATCTATTTTGATTATCCTGATTATAAACCAGATTAAGAGTTATACTGGGTGTTTCATCCAAAGGTATATTTGTGAATAATGATTCAATATCAAAGTTGGCACAATAAACACTACTTTCAAAATTTCAGTTTTGTATTTGTTTCACAAAGTCAAAACTGTTTGGAATAGTAAGTTTATACTTAACAGCTTAATATATTTTACAATAAAACTTGCCAATTAATGATTATAAGTACAGATACAATCAGTCTTATAGGACATCCTTCTTTAACTACTCTTGGAACCGATCTAAAATACTTGTGTGATCCTGTCTTTTTTAGCAGTTTAAATATATTATCATTTAATAAGCCTTATTTCTCTAAATTTAACAAATATTTTTGTATATTAGTTTCTCTTGTTTTCATAGGATATTTCCCCATTTTTTAAATCTAGTTTCATCCTTAAAAATATCTTGGACTTTATTAATATAATCTGTTTTATTCAATAGTAAAATTTATGTTGAAAAATTAAAGATGACATGATCAGGGTATTGTATAAAAAACCTATATCAGAACCTTTCAGGTTAAATAACTATCAAATACATTCACTTTGTTAATTCTAACTTTTG